ACCTACCTATTTTAATCGCGCTTAAAATCGATTTTAAGCGCGATTAAAATAGGTAAGTTTTGGCGGTAATGGCCTTCCATACGATCGTAAACGCTATACCAAGCTGTTCACATTTTCACGCGTAAGGAAAAAATAACGCGCGCTATTTTCACTATAGTAAATATTTTACGCACATAATAATGTTTTATAAGAGATATGCCACATCTATGTCCATTATTGATATGTTGGAAAAGTGAGAATCGTCTAATAAAATACATTATATTACTTTTAACAAGTTATTGGTTTGTTTTTTTTTCTCAAAAATGACCAGCCGCGGGACGTGGCTCATAAAAAATGGTGAGCAGTGAAAGTGTCAAGAAGGTTCGGCCACTTTGCAATGACGTCAGAGAGTCCATGGACTCCCGGATGTTCTATATCGCATTACACGCGAACACGTAGGCCTACTCTCTGTATTAAACATACACGCGAAACAGCATGCCCGATTTCTTTGGCAGATAGTAAATATGCGCGTAAGCAGGCGTGAACTCCTTTATCCTTCATGTAAAGCGAACAGCGAACAGCATGGAATATTATAATTATTGAAGTAAGGCATACGGGTTGACATTCATAATATATGACTACTCAGTGGTATGTGTACCGTAGCGTAAATATGTTATTTCAACAAAACTCTATGCATGTGTACTCCTGATGTGTATGTATTTCGCATGGCAGCACACATTACGACTTCTTGCAGGACACTAGCGTCGCCCAACAGCAAAGAAATTTGTTACCCGGAATCATAACGGTGACCATATTGGACTGTCTGCAAATATATAACGAAGGCAGAAAGGAGGGCTCCAGGTTTTTTATTTATCACAAAGAACAGATCGGTCCTCGCTATTCTAATTACACTTTCGCAATAAAATGCGACTTCTTTTAGCAAATAGCGGATATTCGCATTGGCAAGTAGGCCTACGACACTATTATTTATAACAGGGTTAAAGAGCTTTTGAGAACCTAGCGTATGGTTAGTAAAGCAATGCGTTGCGATTCATATTTATTAAACCTTGCTGTCCGGGGAAATGTATATCAGGCCAATATTGAAAACCCAATATAAGGCCAGTAATGGTTTATATATAGGCAGATATTGTCCAATAATCGGCCCCAATATTGGCCAAAACAGCATTGGGCAATATCACCAGGCCGATATTGGACCAATATCTGCTATATTGACAAGGACAGGACATAACGAAATGTGCAATATCCATATGCAACAGGATATCTTTTACTGCAGATCACTAGGACAGGGTCGGTATTTATAGGCCCAAAGTCCGTTTGCGACAGGTACAGCGTTTCAAGGTCCCGAGGCACCTGACCCTACCCAGTCCGAGGCGAGTGCCCCCCCCCCGGAATCTACTTTCCTCTGCCTTTCGTCCGATTCGCTTCAATGTTCGCGATGCAGTTGTGAGGGCGATTTGAAGTATGTATCCGTGAGCGGCGATACGTGGTAGGTCAGGAGTGACAATAATATATATATAAATCTAAGAGATATCATATAATATATATAATTAATATCTAAATATTAATAATACATCTATATAATTATAACTAGAGCACTCGGAGAGCGCAGACCTCCGCCAAGGCCAGCTCAATTCTGTCACTGTGAAAAAAGTTAATTAACTTATGGCAATCCGGATCACCACCAAAATGTAATCAAATTCTAAGTACATTCTTCTGGACCTATCCCCAATTACAATTTAATTAATTAATTAATTAATTAATTGGATCCGGATCACCACAAAAAGTAATCAATCTCTAATAGTTACCCATTTCTGACCCTATCCTGAAATTTTAATTAATTAGAATGTAATTAATTGCAATTGGCATCACCACCAGTAAATCGTATACAATTCTAATACGCCATTCTGACCTATCCTGAAAATTTTATGACAATCCGGCATGAGACCTTTTTTAGTTAGGCTGTACACAAAACAACAAAC